CAAGTTACCTAATAAATTTTATTATTTCTACAATTGATAATTCAGTCATTTACAATCGAAAAATGTAATTTCTGCGTTGTCATAAAAATTTAGTTTTCTCCTTGTACCTATTTACAACTTCTGTTGAATTTACCATTTAGTTTATATATATATAATTTTGTATTAGATCAAAAATTACTGAAAGAGAGTTGCATTTTGACGTAATTAAATTATTAATCAATGAGATTAAATTTTATCGTTTGGCTTTAAACATATGTCATACTTGTTGTGCCCTTAAGTCCAGTGCATTGCTTGACTTCTTCTTTAATACAGCAGAGACCAATGTTATTGTAGTAACTGAAATAAGCGGATTTTTAACCCAATATATAAGTACTTTAACAATTTTCAAAAATATAAGATCTGCAACTGTCTTTCTTATGTAATAGAAATTTTTGTTTCATAATAATCAGAAGGGCCTAAACACTCGCTGACGATATATATAATGCATACGTATAATTGGATGCATTTATAAAAATACGAATAAGGGTTGCAACACATTTATAAATTACCAACTCGAGTTAAATATCTATCATACTATAGGGATTACTGGAGCTGAAGAAAATGCTGTAGATTATTTATAGGCATGTAATAAAAGGGTTTAGTAAATGCGTCAGATCCCCGACGTTTTACGTCATGTCGTGTCATGCATAATGCATAGGTGTATAATTTAATTTTTCCCTTTTTTCCAAAAATATATTATAAGTACTTTAAATATATGCATATACATCAATCCTCGAAATATGGTCCACCATACAACAAGTGATAATCGGATTAGGCCAAGCGGAGGGTTTTGCCGCTTGTGGGATAACTTCCCAACTCAAGTTTAAAATGTTTTTTGTGGCTTGAGTGGTAAAAGCAATATGAGATTGAGCATTACCATGAAGTATACTTCGTTTACTTCCTGTAGCGATGTGACCTTCAGTTTTACCGGCGCAAAGTAGAATAGAACAGCACTAGGCCAGAAAAGGAAGGAGACAACTCTCGCTCAAACTCTTAACCGGTGAGAAGCATATAATCCGTACAGTACTGCACGGAAAAATTGACTATTTTATCCACTACAATTTCATTGCTCAAATGTGCTGTTATTGGTACCAATTACTACTGAAAATTTGAACGAGATGTTTATTTATATTTGAAGACATATTAAAGGCTTTANAGATATATAATGCATACGTATAATTGGATGCATTTATAAAAATACGAATAAGGGTTGCAACACATTTATAAATTACCAACTCGAGTTAAATATCTATCATACTATAGGGATTACTGGAGCTGAAGAAAATGCTGTAGATTATTTATAGGCATGTAATAAAAGGGTTTAATAAATGCGTCAGATCCCCGACGTTTTACGTCATGTCGTGTCATGCATAATGCATAGGTGTATAATTTAATTTTTCCCTTTTTTCCAAAAATATATTATAAGTACTTTAAATATATGCATATACATCAATCCTCGAAATATGGTCCACCATACAACAAGTGATAATCGGATTAGGCCAAGCGGAGGGTTTTGCCGCTTGTGGGATAACTTCCCAACTCAAGTTTAAAATGTTTTTTGTGGCTTGAGTGATAAAAGCAATATGAGATTGAGCATTACCATGAAGTATACTTTGTTTACTTCCTGTAGCGATGTGACCTTCAGTTTGACCGGCGCAAAGTAGAAAAGAACAGCACTAGGCCAGAAAAGGAAGGAGACAACTCTCGGCCAAACTCTTAACCGGTGAGAAGCATATAATCCGTACAGCACTGCACGGAAAAATTGACTATTTTATCCACTACAATTTCATTGCTCAAATGTGCTGTTATTGGTACCAATTACTACTGAAAATTTGAACGAGATGTTTATTTATATTTGAAGACATATTAAAGGCTTTAACGCTTGTTTTCGACTCGCACTACTATTCATGATTGAACAAAACTTTTGGCAGGTACTGTATGGAAAAGTATGTTTAATGAACAAGAATCGAGAGTATAATGAGCTTTTTTCTCCCTACCTATGATTTTGCCAGCGCGCATCCAAGACATAGGAAGGGGGCAAAATAAAGAAAGTAAATGAAGTATAATATAACTCTTCCAACTTCGTACAATTTGTTTAAATGTCGCTCTGCATCAATTGTTTTTAACAACTTTCGAACAGATTAGATCCTTCATGTACCACAAGATGTAGAGAAATTTTTGTCGGCAAATAGATGTCGATAATTGTCTGAAATCCACCCATAATCTTCTGCGATTGGGTTTGGCGAAAAATATATCTCCCGTTGCAATTTTCCACAAGAAGTTTTTCTTTTGGGATTTAGCGAGCCAAGAAAAGCCCCAACCCGTTCTCCTACAGCTTTTCTGTTTTTCCTATGGTGATGTTATACAGCACTTCCCGTCATGACACACACTTGGTATATGAAAACCATGAAGGTTTATTCTTTAAAATCTCAAGCGAACGAAAGAGTATTCTAGTTTTAAATGGAATTTTCTATTCAATGGAAAAATAGGGAAAAATTAAGTTACATACTAACAACTAACACTCCAAACATAATTACTTTAACAGTTAACAAAGAATACTGATAACAACTTCTTAATTAATTTCTTTTAAATCAATATAGCCTTGCTTCAAATGTTAAATAAATCCTGTTTTACGAGAATGAAATAAAATATTAAAAATTTTTTGCTTTGACATGAATCCGAATGTACGTTTCGCGACCTTATTTGATATTTTCAAAACAGAAGAAGTTAAATTCAAATTTTTGACATAATTCTTGCTTATTTTATTTTCAAAAGTTTATACTAAGGTATTATTTTGAGCTTGTTGTTTAACCCTGTGATGTACGAAGTGAGAGAAGCAATATGGGGTTATGTAAATAAAAAGTTAAATATTTTCTAATTTATAACTGTTACCATACCATTATGGGCACATGCGCTACAATCACGAGTCCAATATAATATAAGAAAGCTTATCGAGCACAGGGCACAGCGCACAGATACCTCTTGGTTTTTTTATTCTGACACATTACCCGAGATGTCTCGGGCCGCAGCCGCAAATATCCTATCAGTTTACCTTCCTCTAACGTTTTTTCATCCTTATTCTCTCTTTTTCTGTCTCTTTCTATGTAAATTATGATTTAGTCCAGTAAAATTATAAACTACATTACCGACGACTGTTGTAAATTTAAACAAGATGCAATAAAATATTACATGATTCCTTATTCTAAAAAGCACAATCAGTAAAGGGTATAAAAAGCTCATATATTTACATAGGGAAATTCATTACCTATTCACCCAGTTAATAAGTTATTTTAGTTAAAAATCTTGAAAAGGTCAACCATTATAAAGAAAATTACCACGAGAAAATAGTGAGTGTATTATAAATCACTTTTATCATACGTGGCAAGTGAATTTAAATGATCCTAGGTGCAACAATTTGAATAATTATTTTACCAATAAAATGCACGTACAGCTATTTATCCAATCCTAACTGAAAAGGCATTTACTATAGCAGTATATCACATAGTACAAACAACATTATTCGTTGTATATCCGGCTTCAATTATTATTCGTTTTTATTCAAAGCTTTAATTCATTAATAACGAAAACAATAAAATTACAAAACTTATTTCCTCTTGTATGGAAAATTAAATTGCTAATTTTGTTTTCTAACTCGTATTTAAATGTATTTTAAACCACTTTTCAGTAATTTACAATTTAATATTTATACCGACATGACCTTTACGTAATACATTTAGTCCAGAATAAATAATAAGCATCCATTTGCTTAAAATTGTACTCCACAGGGAAGGGAAAGGGTTAAAATTTCTCGTAGGAAGGCCAAGCAAGTTGAGCTTTGTAGGTCACCCAACATCAATACAAAATTAGTTAAAACTTAGTTTGGCTTGAGTTTGTACACCCCTGAAGGTCTCTAATCGTAATATCGTAAGGGATTAGATTAGCTTAAATGAAACCTGATATTATTAAATTTTTGGGAAAGAAATTACAAAAACGATGTTATTTATTATTTTGGAATGTATGAAAAATTAGATTGTTCATCAAACTTTTGTATGGTAGAAAGAAGTTATGTATTTTGAATAACCAACATCTAGATTTTCGTCAAAAGAGTCATTATCATGAAGAGAGGTAGAGTATAGGAGAATCATCGTAACATGGTAGAGTGGATTAAGTATATAACGCGCAATTTTACATAGTCTAATCAGTAGTGTATGTAATTGTAAGATTATTACTATTAATATTATATGAAATATCTTGACATTTAATAGGGGTTGATATTATTAATGAAAATGCATTTTTATTTTTAATTTTCATTAATATTGTTAGATATTAATTGCAACATTATTCTTGTGAATTTAGTATTTGTGTTCAATAGCAGAATTATAGTTTAGAAAACAAAAATATTGTGTTAAATAAATGATGATGATACAATTTCTAGTTTGAGCATGCTCACTTTACTGGATGTAGACTACGACGCCCTTCGCTTCCACCGAAACTTTAAATGATAGATCTCATTT